CAGCACTAGGCAATGCCAGCAAGAGTGGAAAAGCTGAGCTTCCCATGTGAAGAGTCTAGTGCATCATCTAGGATCACCTGCCAGCACCACGGTCAGCTTCACAAGTTGGCCTATGAGACGGTCTGGAAGGTTCTAGAGAGTTTGCTGAGCTCAGGGACACCCCTCCCCCCAAAAAAGCTGTAGTCCCAGTCTACCATGATGAAAGATGTGCGAGTACTGGGAAGCATCCCCCCAGTGTTGGCCCTTTAAGCATGATTGCCCCCCCACACACTGCAATTGGGTACGTCTGCAAAGGCAACTTCAGGCAATTGCCATCATCCCAGGGACTAGTGAGGATCATCCTCCTTCTTGCATTTGCCAAGTGTTTGATTGCCTGGCTCCATGCTCTAAATATCTGCTCCTGGCCATTCTCCAGCATGCTATTAGGAGTCCCTTCCCTGCCTTACTGATTCTGGTGCCTAGCAGACTTTCTGCTCTAAATACTCCCTGACTTAGAGGAATAGGTACAACATTTTGTTAAATAAAAAAAGTAAGTTGCAGATATATATATATATATATATATCATATAATCTCCACTTTTAAGAAGAAATTCAACAAAAATCTCTATTTAGGTGGTCTTGAATTTGTAAAGAACATGGGTGTGGGAGGATACTTACAGATCATACGACCTCAGAGGGGCTGAGGGCTTTTTATGGAACTTGACAAGCTGTTTCTAAAACTAATCTGGAAATGTAAATGCATTGTGTTCCAGTTATCTATGGCTGTGTAACAAACCACCCCAAAACTTAGTGGCTGAAAGCAATGGCCGCTTTAGTTTTGCTCACAGATCTGTAATTTAGAAAGGGCTCTAAGGAAACAGCCTGTTTCTATTGCTCTCTGTCTGGAGCAGCTGAAAGACTAGGGGCTAGAACTGTGTGACGGCTCGCTCACTCATGTCTGATGATTGATGTGGACTGTCACCTGAGACCTCAGCCGGGGCTACGACCTACACATGGCCTTTCCATGTGGCTGCTTGGCTTCCTCACAGCATGGTTGCTGGGTTCCCAGGGTGAGTGACATGAGGGAGAGCAAAGAGGAAAGTATATCACCTGCTCTAACCTAGACTTGGAAGTCCTACGGCATCACTTCTACCACATTCCATTCACTGAGATGGTGACCAAGGCCTTCCCAGTTTCAAGGGCACAGGAAACAGATTTTCCCTCTTGACGGAGAGGTGGCAAGGTGCTAGAATAGTATGTGGAACCAGAAACAAAATTTTAAAAAATGAAAATTACTATCATAAAATAAAAATAAATGAATTCACTATCATAAAATTAAGAATATAAGTTACCTATGGTGGGCAAGGGAAAAGAGGTTTAGGAATGATTTGTCAGAAGCCAGTCAATTCTTCCATAGGAGCTAATTTAATTTGTTTGTTTCCCAAATGGATGGCAAGTTATATCAAAATATTTGTCATTTCCTTTTTATTATAGCTGTTTTCTCTAATGGTTTTATCATATGCTAAGTTCCCTTTTATAGTTGAATCTATTTCTGGACCCTTTTCTGTCAATTCTATTTGCCTAATCCTCCACCCGTAACACAGTTTTAATCAATGTAATTATATCCTATGTTTTGATACCTAATGCTGAACATCTTCCGTTATTAGTTTTGTTAACTTGAAGAAAAATTTTTCCTACATACAGAAGACTGTATTTTCCAAACGTGGGCAAAATAACATTTCTGCCAATTTATTAGTGTGTATGAAATGGTATCTTGATGTGGTTTTAATTCTTTTTTTGGTGGGGGAGGTAATTAGGTTTATTTATACATACATATATATGTGTGTGTGTGTATATATATATATTATTTTTTTTTAATGGAGGTACTAGGGATTGAACCCAGGACCTTGTACATGCTAAGCATGCACTCTAACACTGAGCTATCCCTCCCTCCTTGATGTGGTTTTAATTTGCATTTTCTTTATTACTATAGACAGTGAACAACTTTTCATATGTATATGAGCCATTTCTGCTTCTTTTATGAAATTCCTGTTCATTTTCTCTGCCCATTTTTCTATTTGATTGTTTATCTTTTAATTTGTAGGAGGTCTTTATAAATTCTAGGTAAAAATCCTTTGTCAGTTATATGTCTTGAAAATATCTTCTCCCAATTTCTAGCTTGACTTTGGACTCTTTTATAGTGGTTTTTAAAATAAATTTAAGTTTTTAATATTAATGTATCTAAATTTATCAATATTTTCGTTTATGGGTTACATTCTTGTGTTTGTTTAAGAAATTCCTCTGGGAAGGGTATAGCTCAAGTGGTAGAGTGCATGCTCAGCATGAACAGGGTCCTGGGTTCGATCCCCAGTACCTCCTCTAAAAATAAACTAATTACCTCCTCCCCTCAAAAATAGATAGATAGATAAATAAATAAATAAATTCCCCCACCCCAATGTTAGTAGGCAATGCATATAGTGCCGAAGAGCAAATTCTGAATCCAGACACCCCAGCTCAGATCCTGGCTCCATCACTTACTATGTAGCCTTGGGCAAAGTATTAATCTCTCAATGCCTCAGTCCTCTCATCTGTAAAATGGGATAACCAAAGTACCTATCTGAGAGTTGCTGTGAAATAAAAAGATAACATATGTGAGGCCCTTAGAGCAATCTTCAGCACATATTAAGCTCTGTATAAATACTTGCTGTTATTATGATGATGCTTATCAGATAATTTTTATTGTTACTTCTCAGGGCAAGGACCATCATACCTTATTCAGTTTTGTATCCTCAGCTCTTAGCACAACACTTGGCATAAATGCATAGTTAGTTGTTTATTTTTCCCATCTCTAGCGTCCCCTGCCTCCCCATTCAACTTCACCTTTCTATAGTGCTATCAAAATAATCTCCCTCACATATCTATAATAGTTTCTCTCCTTTTATTAAAGCTTCCAATTATTCTCTACTGCTCGCAAATTCTTAAGCCACCATAATTTGCCCCAAATCCTTTTTCCAGTCAAAGTGTTCTATATCCTCCTTCCTACTAAACATACTAAAACAGTGGTGTTTGGGGGTATCTTTCCATCAGTCTATACCTATATTTGTAGATGAGCATCTGCAAATCTGTATACGTGCGATCTAGGGCAATGTTCAAGAGAATGGGCTTTGAAGTCAGACCGCCTGACTTTGGATCCTGATTCCAGCACTTACTACATATTTAACTGTGGACAAGTTCCTTTGCCTCTTCAAATCTGTTTCCTTGTCTATAAAATGGAGACAATAATAGTTCCTACTTCAAAACGCTTTCAATGAGGTCTTTAATATTTACTATGGTGTCTGGCACACAGTAAACACCATATAAATTTTAGCTGTTACTAGAAAACTTTCTCACCAATATATCCTTATTTCCCCAACTCTGCAGTCTCCTGGTTCCCCCAGCACCCACAGAAGCTGGTTGTAAGGAAATGGAGGCTGTAAAGGGGGATGGTAATGAAATCCAGCAACACTGCTGTTCTCTTTACAAAAGTGCAGTGATGATGAGTATGGAGAACGTATAAATCAAGATTACAAATATAGTTTTGGGTATAACATATCTGCTGTGCAAAATAAAATACTGTACATCCACTCAAAGGGTAGTTAACCTGGAGTCCTTGAGCTCTGAAATTAGAGGCACCACTTGGTCTGCATGTGCATTTTTCTTGACAGAGGGTTCATTGCTTTCATCTGATTCATGACCTTAAAAAAAACCTTAACTAAGAGGGTTAAGAACCTGTGACCTTTCAGTACAATATTTTCTTTCTTTTTAAAAAAAATTTTTTTATTGACTTATAATCATTTTACAATGTTGTGTCAAATAGTACAATGTTTTCTGAGAAGAGAAAGTTCATGTGGGCATCCAGCATCCCCTGGGGGAGTCAGTCAAAATTCCAGTGTTCACTGAATGCAGAGCCATGGGGATGCAAAGGCATTAGCAATTCTTTAGAAGGAAATAAAGTACATACGGGAAGCCTGGGAACAGTGAGGGCACTTTAGCTGAATGTGGTACAGCTGCTGAGGTTTGAAGGCCTTCACCAATGAGGAATGTGGGCCAGTGTCTGCAGGTTTGTTGTAAGTGTCTGTGTCTGTGTGCGTGTGGTGGGTGGTGGGCGGGTGGGGGAATGGTTCAACTTGTTTTTCATCAAAAGAGGGTTATGTGAGCTTACAGCGAACTTCCATCACTGCTACCTATAATTTTCTAATTATTTCATCATCCATTGAGTCTTTTCTTCCAGTAGCCCTGACGACCGGAGGCAAAACTGAAACACGGAAAGAGAGAACAAAACGAAAAGAAAGCTGCAAACGGAGGCGAGCGCCCCGTCTTCCGTCCTGCGGTCCCTTTAAGAGAAGAACGTCTTGGGACCGGCAGTCCCAACCGACCCCAGTTTTAACCGAAACCTAACCCGGACTTCCCCCTCTTGACTCAAATAAGACCAACTTTGGATTTTCCCTCCCCTATTGACCAATCAGATTCTGTTACCAGGCAGACTTTAGCTGCCACCGGTGCGAGGCCGGCGCCTTCTGTCTCCGGGTAGCAGCAACGACCAATGATAGAGCAGGCCGTCCGAGTATCTAGGCAGATCGGGGCTGTTCCAGCCATTCAGAAAAAAGAAAATAAAGCAACGCACGAGCCCGCTGGGCCAGGACCGTGGGGCTGGGCTGGAGTGAAGGTGGCTACGAGGTAGTTTCTCTTTCTCCCTTACCTTTATTGTTGCTTGTGTTGGAAGGCGACTGTCCAAAGGTAGGGAGGGGGCAATGTGAGTTGGGAGGAGAGCAGAAAAAGATTTTGGCTGTATTTTCAAGCTTCTTCACCCCATGTGCACGTGCCCCGAATCTGGGACCCCATTCCCCCAACCGGGTTTCCTACGCCCAGCCCAGGAGTTCCGCTATCGTGAACCCCCCACTTTGCAGCGACGCGGGACTGAATGGAGGGGGGAGGGAGGGAGGTGGGGGCGCGCATCAGGATGGGATGTTGAGGGAGATGACGTAGGGGCCGGCGACGTGGGGAGGGGGAGCTGCGGGGGAAGCCGTGGCGAGATTTAGTAATGAGAACTTGGGCCCAGTTTTTTTACAAGCCTGGAAGGCCAGAATGTGTTCGTATCCTTTCTGACCTCCCAGGCAGATTCAGTGGTGAGGAGTATATTAGGAATTAAAGAACTTTGTCTTGTGGCTGTTACTGACTGTTGTTTTTGAGGGGAAGGAGGGCAGTACAGGGTCAGAGGCAGAAATGAAAATTTCTTTCTAACGTGGATTCCCAATCTCCCTATCTCTTCCTTTACAGTTTTACACATTTAGGAGACTGCAGAAAGGTGGGGCAGATAGAATGGAGATGGCAAAGATCTCTCTGGGTATATATGGGCCTGGAGAAGTAATGGAATAATTTCTAATTTTTGGAGAAGGCAAGTGGTGAGAAAAAGACCACTGGGGAAATTCGGAGGCTTTCTTACTGTTTTTCTGTCGTTCTGGGTAGAGAGATGAGGAGTGCCCTGGAGCCTCCAGGGGAAAAGGGAAGTTTAATCTTCATGTCCTGTCTCCTCTCAACTGTAGCCCTCATGCCGGGATGGCAGAAGATGAACCCGATGCTAAGAGCCCCAAGACTGGAGGCAGGGCCCCCTCAGGTAGTGCTGAGGCAGGGGAACCCACTACCCTTCTTCAGAGGCTCCGAGGTACCATTTCGTAAGTACTCATCACCACCTCCAAACCTCATTCCCAACCTGAGTATAGCTCCCCCTAGTACCTCACTTCCTCTGTGGATGACCTGCCTCTCCCGGAGCAAGTGCATCTGACCAGGGAAGAGTCTTCATCATGGTAGCAGTTCTTGAGCACCCACTGGGTTTTTCAGACCTCTTCCTCTCCCTAGCAGTCAGACACAGGGTTGGAGGGAAATCTTCCGTATGACCTCCAGCTTTCTCTTCTTTTCCACAGCAAGGCCGTGCAGAACAAAGTAGAGGGAATCCTGGTGAGTATTTGGGAGAAGAGGACAACAGAGAGATGGAACTGGTGAGGGATGAGGATGGTGAGGATATGGGTAAATGAGAGGTTTATGTGAGAGAGGCAGTGTCGTCTGCCCTGTCAGAAGGTAATTGGCTTTGCAACTTGCTATCAGTTTGATCTTGAGCATCTCACTTCAAACTCTCTGTGACCTCCTCTTGTGTAGAAGCTGGGTAGAAATAAGATCAGAGCTGATCCCCTCTGCTCTCCCTCTCACCGTGGTAGCCCATCAGGGCTTCTTTAGGGCACAGTGAGCACCCAGCCTCAGATCATTTCTAAGGTCGTTTTTCAGTCTGACAGTCACTAAGTCAGTTAGACTTTTTGGTAAGGATCAGAGAGTCTTACCTTGAGTCCTTCTTGGTCGTAATATTTCTCCTGCCTCTTTTTCTCTCTACCCTAGCAAGATGTACAGAAATTCTCAGACAATGACAAGCTGTATCTCTACCTTCAGCTCCCCTCAGGGCCCAGTACTGGAGACAAAAGGTACATTTGGTGCTAGAGTTTTAGATGTCAAGGTTCTGATTCTCAAAGAAAGCCTCCCTAAAAAAGGGTGGGGTGAATAGGAATACTCTTAACAGCTACCCATAATCAAGAAGGAAAGTCCATGTCCTGCCTTGGTTTACCAGGGAAAGGTGGATTCTGGAGGAACTGAGTCAGTCCAGCACTACTGAAGTGATAGTCCGGGTGGAACCAGGGCAGCTGTTGGGAATGTTAGCAGTACTCGTCTCTTTCCCTTCTCCTGCAGCTCAGAGCCAAGTTCACTCAGCAATGAGGAGTACATGTATGCTTATAGATGGATCCGCAACCACCTGGAAGAGCACACTGACACCTGTCTGCCAAAACAAAGTGTTTATGATGCCTATCGGTGGGTGGATGGGGGTGGGGGTGGTTGCTGGGCATAGGACTACCTCCTCACCCCTGGGAGCTCCCTCCCTTGATACAGCCTGATTTAAAAGGTTTCCCAAACTTGATCCCCAGGGACCCTCTAAACCTAGACATGACCTCCCTCTCTGAATAGCTTCCCACTCCTCCCCCTCCCCTGCCAGGAAGTACTGTGAGAGCCTCGCCTGTTGCCGCCCACTCAGCACAGCCAACTTTGGCAAAATCATCAGAGAGATCTTCCCTGACATCAAGGCCCGACGACTTGGTGGCCGGGGCCAGTCTAAGTATCCTTGACTGGAGAGGTTGGGCCGGAGGGGCTGGGGAGGGAAACTTAGGATGTGGAGAGCCAAGAATGAAAACAGCCCAAGCTTCCTAAGGGGCATGGAGAGCCCCATGTACTGGTTGCTCCTTAACTTACATCAGATATTGCTACAGTGGCATACGAAGGAAGACCTTGGTATCTATGCCGCCCTTGCCTGGACTTGACCTAAAGGGCTCTGAGAGTGTAAGTAACAAACAGCCCTCCGACTGCTCTCTTCTCTCCAAGGTAGAAGTCAGAGGACTTCAGGACATGTTCTGAGGGCTGACACAACGAGGTCATTCTGCACACAGCTTCTGGGTATCTAGGCTATGCCCTTCTGCTTACCCTGCGGCTGAGGCAGAGCATTTGTGGCTTTCTGAGATGGGCTGATGGAGGCTCCTCCCATCCTCAGTCTGTTCTTCCTCATGGTCAGTGTTGGTGTCTGAGAGGGGCTGAGGGTTCTTTGTTTGGAGTGTGATTGGGTGTGTCCTTCCCCTCCTGCAGCCAGAAATGGGCCCAGAGGTAACCCCAGCACCTCGGGATGAACTGGTCGAGGCAGCCTGTGCCCTGACCTGTGACTGGGCAGAGCGAATCCTGAAACGGTCCTTCAGTTCCATCGTTGAGGTGGCGCGCTTCCTGCTACAGCAGCATCTCATCTCCGCCCGATCTGCACACGCGCATGTGCTCAAGGCCATGGGGCTTGCTGGTGGGTGGACTCCCTCTTACCTCCTGAGAAACCCTCAGCCACTTTCAGCCTCAAAGGCCCTCCCACATACTAGCATAGAGACACCTTGGATTTGCCTTCTGTTCCTAGAGACCCTTCCAGGACATACCTTAGACCACCTTCTCTTCCCTGCCTATACCAGCCAGTCAGAGTCACCTCACTCCTCCATTCTGTCTCCTACTCACCTTGTTGCCTTTTCTGGCACCTCCGCAGAAGAGGACGAACATGCCCCTCGGGAACGGTCATCTAAATCCAAGAATGGTGTGGAGAACCTGGAGGGCGGAGCCCATAAGAAACCAGAGAGACCAGCCCAGGTAAGGAAGTTGACGCCCCTGACCTTGCTCCCCTGGGCTGAGGGTTTAGTATACCCCCCTCCCCCAGAGGGCCCAGTACTTGTTCACCTCCTGTTCCTATGCTTCCTCCATTGTCCAGCCTTCCCACTTTCTGCATTCCTCTCTTTACTTTGTAGCCTCCGAAGGAGCTGGAGCCCCGGGCTGGGGCTGGGCCCCCAGCACGCGGAGAGCGGAGGAGGAGTGCGGTGGAGAGCCCGGCTCCAGCAGCCAGTAACCCGCAGGTTAACGCCCTCGTGGCCCGGCTGCCTCTGCTCCTGCCCCGGGCCCCGCGCTCGCTTATTCCACCAATCCGAGTCTCTCCACCCATCCTGGCCCCCAAACTCTCCTCAGGCTCTCTGAAAGTGGCCACGCTGCCTCTGCCCAGTAGGGCTGGGGGACCCCAAGCAGCCGTGCCCATCATTAACATGATTTTACCAACTGTTCCTGCTTTGCCTGGACCTGGACCTGGGCCTGGGCCTGGGCCTGGGCCTGGTCAAGCTCCACCTGGGGGGCTCACTCAGCTGAGGGGCCCAGAGAACAGGGAAGTAGGCATAGGTGGTGACCTGGGACCCCATGACAAGGGCGTCAAAAGGACAGCTGAAGTACCTGTGAGTGAGGCGAGTGGGCAGGACCCACCAGCTAAGGCAACAAAGCAGGATATAGAGGATACAGGAAGTGATGCCAAAAGAAAACGAGGGCGCCCTCGAAAAAAATCAGGTGGAAGTAGGGAAAGGAATGCGACCCCTGACAAGTCAGCCGCTGCCATGGACTCTGTCCAGTCCTCAAGGTTACTGCGGGAGACGTGGGCCTCTCGAGGGGCAAGCAACTCAGCTGGAGGGTCCGAGGGGCCAGGGCCAATGGGAGAGGCTGGGAAGGCGATACTTGCCCAGGGACAGGAAGATGGTGCTGTTTCCAGAGGAGGAAGGGGCCCCAGTTCTCGGCATGCCAAAGAAGCGGAAGATAAAATTCCTCTTGTCACCCCGAAAGTGAGTGTCATCAAGGGCAGTAGAAGCCAAAAGGAGGTTCTTCATTTGGTTAGGGGAGGGGTAGACACGGCAGCACAGGGTAATAAAGACTTAAAGGGGCAGGTGCTTCAAAGTTCCTTATCCCAGGAGCGAAAAGACCCCAAAGCAACACCCCCATGCTAGGTATGTGGGGAGGAGCGTGTATATCCGTATGTTAACTCTACCTGCCTGCCTGATAGAGGCCCTTCTCTGCACTTGCTTCTCACTTGGCCCTTCTGTATAGACAGCTGAGGTACCCTGTCTTACACAGTGCCTGCTTCTTGCCTCTGACCTTTCCCGCTCGATACCCTTGGCTTTAGAGTCACCAATAAATCTGTAGTGACCACCTTACCTGGATCCCTGTGCTATCCTGTGGACATACAGGGATGGAGTTTGATGAATGTATAAGTTAGGAGTCTTTTGGTTATAAATCAGAGAAAACCTAACTCAAACTGGCTCAAAAATAAAGATTTATTGGCTCATGTAACTGGAAAGTCCAGAGGTAGTGCTGGCTCCAGGTAAAGCTGAGCCAGTGGCCCAGTATGTCTCTAAATACCTGATTGCTTTTTTTTTTCCCCACTGCTCTGCCTTCTGTAGGATCATCTTACACCTGGGCTGCCTTGTGGCTGCCAGCACTCTTGGGATTATGTGTATCCTCATTTATGCCCAACCAGAAAGAGAGGGCATCTTTGTGTCAGGAATCCTAGCAAAAGAGTCACTCGGTTCAGCCAGCCTGGGTCACGTGCCCACCCCTAACCAATCACTGCGGCCAGGAGATTGGTGTATACTAATTTGCTTACTTACTCTGCATCATGGACTGTACCTTTTAAAAAAGGGCAGGATCAGCCTCCTGAGAATCACATAGATCCCTAAATGGAAACTGGGAGGGGGGTGTTCCTGGGGAGGCAGCTGGCACCTGGCCACAGGTATGAACTACATGTGGTTTTAACTTGCCAGGTTGACAGCTATACCTGCTTCCTTTTTTCCTCATAGTCTTTCTTGCATCTTCCTTGCTGCAGCTGCAGTCTTTCCTCTTGTTCTCACATCAGAAGGAATGAGAGGAAGTCATTCTTCTTTAGGGACTATCTCTTTAGTCTCTTTAGATGACAGTCCCCCCTTTTTTTTCACCTACATCTCAGAAATGGCTATCTTTCCTTTTCCTGTTTCTGAATTTTAGTTTTTGCCTCATTCCTGCTTCCCTATCCCCCAACCTACTGCCACTTTCACCAAGTAGAGTGAAAGATTTACTTCCTAGTCATTTTTATTAAATTCATTCTGTATCCACCAGGTGTCAGTCTCCTGTCATGCATGTGTCAGGACTTAGCCAGGACTGTGTGGTTTAGGCTCTGTGTATGGAAGGAGGTAGCTTCGCGTGTCAGGGAGCACCAATGGCAAGGGAATCCAGCCCCCCTATGCTGGGAAAAGCAGTAAACCAAGCAGTATTCATTGCGGACCTACTTCGTCTTCTGCACAGGGCAGCTTCTGTCAGGGAATCTCAGTGTTCCTTCAGGGAGACTTCATTAATCTGTCCATTTATTTCCACCATTGCAGATTTTTAAAAAATTATAATATGTAATGTTTGATATCTATAAAGAATATATTTAACATGAATAAATTATGGAGCATAGTAATTAAATGACCCATCACCCAATTTGTACATTAAAACATTAGAAATACCGTTGAAGTTCTTGTGTTCATCCCCTATCCTATCCTGCCTCTCCCAAGAGGTAACCACTGTCCTTAATTTTGTGTTTATTACTTACCTGCCATATATATGTATATATAGAGAGAGGTATATAGATCTCCATATGTGTATATATCCTTTAAAAATGTATTATTCAGCTTTGCTTTTCAGTTTTACAAAAATTGTGCTCTCTAATAGTCCCTTACGGTTTGGGTTTGTTTGTTTTTTTCACTTCACATTATTTCTAAGATTCATCCATGTTGTAGATAGCTATGATCCGTTCAGTTCCATCAGTATAATATTTCAAGTGCATAAACAACAATTTATTTATTCACCCACCTATCAATGGATATTTGGGTTGTTTAAAGTTCTTTTGCTGTTACAAACAATGCTGCTATGAACATTCTTGTACACGTTAGTGCCTTTGTTTTTAGAATGATTTCTAAGAAGCTTTCTAAGATGGTTCCTTTGGTCTACAAACCCTCTGAGCTGGGGCCAGTCCCCCTTGTCTTCTCTGGAAGAGTTTACATCAGATTGAAATGAACTGTCCCTTGAAAGTTTGGTAAAATTCACCTGGTAAACCATCTGAGCCTGGTGTTTCTTTGTGGGAAAAATTTTAATTACTGACTCAATTTCATTAATAATTATAGGCTCTTTGGGCTTTCTACTTCTTCTCACGTCCATTTAGGTAAAGTGTTTTTTTTAGAATTCCATGCATTTTATGTCATTTTTTAAAAATGAAATTTCTTAAATTTTCTATTTTGCCTCTGCTCCCTGCGTACTTGTGTCCTTTTCATTTCTACCATTTACTTGTGCCTTCTTTTTTTACCCCTTGACCAGCTACACCAGAAGTTTATTTTACTAATCTATCTTTAGTTGCTACTTTGGGCTTTGTTGATCCTCTCCCTTTTATGTTTTTTTTCGGGGGGCTATAATTATGTTTATTTATTTATTTTTAACGGAGGTACTGGGAATTGAACCCAAGACCTCCTGTGTGCTAGGCATGCACTCTACCACTGAGCTATACCCTCCCCCCATGTTTATTTTTCATTTCATTAATTACGGATCTTGTCTATAGTTATTTCCTTTCTTCTGCTTCCTTTAGATTTAATTTTTATGTTCCTTTATAACATCTTAATTTGTATCTAATTTTCAAGCTTTTTTCTATACTAAGTTTTTAAGGACTCGCTTTACAGTCTCCAAATTTTTGTTTATTTTGTTTAAATTATTACTTAGTTCCAAGAATATTCAAATTACCTTTATGACTTTGTTGATTCATGATTTAGAAAAGTTTTACAAATTTCCAAATGTTTGGATGTTGAAAGTTTTATCTTTTTTTCTTTTGGCTAATTAGGTAATTAGATTTTTAAAAATTTATTTATAATGGAGGTACTGGGGATTGAACCCAGGACTTCCTGCATGCTAAGCATGCATTCTACCACTGAGCTATATCATCCCCTTGAAAAATTTATCTTTTTGATAGTGATTTCAGCTTAATCATTTGTTCTCAGAGAAGGTAGTCTGTATGATACCAATTCTTTGAAATTTGGGGGGATTGTTATTTTGTATTCTATAAATTATCTTGGATGACTAAATCTATTTTGTTGTTTTTTACTGACTCCTTCCCATAGTAGCTTGTTTCCTTGTATATTTTGTGTTTTGGGATTTTGAGCTCATATTTTATTAACTTAATCTAAGGGAATCCAGAGGGCCTTGATTAAGGGTGCTTTCTTCCAGAGAGGATTTGCATTTGCTTCTGCCAGGAGACAAAGGGTGCTCCTGACCTGGGACTGTGGTAGCCCCTTTCAGAGTCCAGGTTTAATTCAGGAGTCCTAGGTTTTCTCCCCTTTGGCCAGGCCCAGGGCTTAGCCTCTGTTAGCAGTACTGACACTGGCATTCGTGCCCGGGGCAAACCTGCTTCTCCTCCTACTCTTACCTTAGCCTTCCTGTAGATTTCAGCTTAATGTTCTTTTTTTGTCCTTTACTGGTCTCTTCTATTTTCTGATGAGCCCAGCAATGTGGTAAACATGTTTGCTGTAATTTATCCAGGATCTAGTTGTATTTTAGTGGGAGAGCTCTTTCTCTTATCCATGCTGCCCGAAGTAGGGTCCATTACTGTGGTTTTGGCATTTCCCTTCTTGTTTTTTAAGAGCTACTCACTCATGAGAAGCTAGGACTTAGGCACTGTCTTCAGATCAATAATGATCACAGCACAGCGTGAGTTACGGTAGCAGAAAGCACAGAGAGCTGCGGGAGCCCAGAGCAATAGCGCAGCAGTCAGACAGGGATCAGGAATGACTTTCTCGTAGAGGTGAATAGGAATAAGCTGGACAAGTCTAACTCATAAAACAAAGACAGAACAACATAAGACATAGGGTAAAAAGAGCTAAATCATAACACTTATTCTGCACATGAGAGCTGTAAATTCAAAGACATTGAGTGATTTGGGAAGGCTTCTTGGAAAAGGTAGATCTGAGTTAAGCCTTCAAGGTAAGTAGAACTTAGGTGAAAAAGGTGAAGGCATACCAAGAAAAGCAGGGGTTTGGGGATGTGGGGTGTGAATAAGACATGGCAGTACAACCCAGTAAAGAGGCCTGTCGGGCGGAAGGGCTGTGAATGAACAATAGTGAGAAATAAACTAGAAGAAGAACACACAAGCATGATAGCTAGCCATTGATTGACTGAATGAATGGTATGAAGTTTGCATTAGAAAATGGAGGAACTGAATCAAAAGGAACCAGCCAGGCAGCTGTTGCCATTATCCATGTGGGAGGAGCTGAGGGCCTGGACCTCAGGCTGCTGACATGTCAGAGGTGACAGGCATATGGAAAAATGAACCACTGGTGATAGAATAGATAGACATAGCCAAGGAAATGTCTTCACCGTGACTTGGTTTGGGGATGGATCCATTCACTTTGGGAGACCAGACCACTGGAAGATTTTGAGATTTACATGACTGTTACAGGGTCTTTAAGTAGCCTGTTTTAAAATTTTATCCTGTTTTAAAAATCTAACATAAAACAAGTTATTATTCTGTAGTTCAGGCGACCTTCAGTTTATTAGATGAAGGGCTAAACTAAGACTTGGGGGACTGCCTACCGCTTCCTCTCTGCCAGTCCTCATTCTCTCCCCAACACCCTGTTCCCCACTCCCATTGTTGCTTTTTTCATTTAGCCCTATCCTGAATTAAAGGTAATTTATAATTTACTAAAATTTTAAATAATCTTTTGCTCTTAAACCAAAACAAACTCTGTATGTCTAGCCTATAGCCTCAAATAAATGAGTTTATTGTTTATTTTTGTGGATAACAATTTTCTTAAAAAATCAAAGCAAATGCCACACTGACTCATGTGCTAAACGGGGGAATTAATGTCATGACACGTTTCTCTAAGTGTTCTGTCTAGTGTTAACGTTCGTCAGCTGGCCCACTCCTTTGTCTGGGATCAACCTGCTGGCGCCACCCTGAGGTAAAGCTCATCATTACATATACATAACTATTTCTTAAATGTTCGTGAAGAGGCAATTTGTTTACTGGAAAGAGCATGAATTCTGTACAAATTTACCTTACCTCTTTCCATATCATTTTGAACACTTATTTAGTCCAGTTCTTTCAAAGTGGATTCAAAAGTAGATTGCAGCTGATTAGTGGGTTGTGAAACTGATTCAGCAGAATGCCAGTGTTTTTTAAAAGTCAGATAAACTAGAATAGAAAAAAAATCAGCGTGCAATACATATAGTAAGGGTAAGCATTGTTTCACGAAACTTTCATTTCAGTTAAGATATGTCTATGGTCATGATTATAAAATCTATTTATTGTAGGTTGAAGTAAAACAATTTTAAAAACAATGTCCTAACCATTCTGAAGCAGTTTCCATAAAATGAGATTAAATCTTTCACAGGGTTGTAGTGAAGGATATATGAGGTAACGTTTGTATTCATACACGGTAGGAGCCCAAGCAATAATGAGCTGCTTTTTCTTTTCTCTGAAAAAAAAAAAGCCCATAGTATCTATGGTTCAAGAAAAAAATTTGACTTTTTATAATTTCTTTAACCATAGGGATGCTTAAAATATACCTGGAGCTGTATTATGACCTGGGTCCTCTAGTTTTATCAGCTGTTGATAAATAAGCCAACTTCTTTCCCCAATTTGATGACAGTTAAATAAATAAATGACATAACTTGACCTGGTTGGTATTTCCTTGCCCTCACACCCCAAGGTGCCACATGTGTACATGCTTTGACGTAAGAGGCTTCACATGCAAACAGGACAGAATGAGTTCCTAGCGGGTCACATGTCATCCATATACAACCATCTGTACCTCCCTGGGGCCTAAGATAGAGGTAAGTGGTATTTTTTTCAATCAAAAGAGAATTTTAAATATAGTTTCAGTGTGGTGAATATTATAAATGTTATGCTTTTAAACTGAATATGAGAAACAGAGTAGCATTCAGTTTTATGACAATTAAGGAGACTTAAGGGAAAAGAGAAGCAAATAGAAAGGGGGGGAGAAAAATTCATTTAGTCAAAATATTTATTTGTAAATATTTTTATTTTATTCATTCATTTAAAATAACTATTTTCCCAAAACAACAATGACAACAACAAAAAAAGTCAGACAATGGGAATGGTTCTGCATTTTTGGAAATCTCTTTTATGCCTGACTGGATTCTCAGATCTGCTTCTGCATTCAATCTGTTGCTGTTTCAACAAATATAAACATACTTTTCTGTGGTAGAAACTAAGGAACTAAGGATAGAGCTAGAATACAAAGATAAATCCTTTCCTGCCTTGAGGAGCTCAGACTAGAGGGGGCTGGAGACCCCAAAAAACAGAGGGAACCAAAGAAAACTCTAAAAGAAGGCAGAAAGACAAAGTCATAAAGATATGCAAAGAAATTTACACGTAAGAGCCCTTAGAGCTATAAACACAGAAAGCTTGAAACAAAATCTACCTCATAATACTCTGCATGTGTGCACGCACACACATGTATGTGTATAGAATACGAGGGGAGGCTCACTTGGTTAATAAAGGACTTACAACTGCCTGTAGCTACAAAAAATTCCTACTTAAAGTTTGAACAGAGATGTTCCTGGAAATTTGTGGGGGGTTTTGTTTCTGGAAAATAAAAAACTTCCTACATTGAAACAGTAAGATTGTCACATCACTTTTCACCATGCTTCAAAAAGCTGGTGGGTTTTACAGCCCTTGGGATCCTTGTCTCTTGAGGGGATGGATGTGTGACATTATAAACTCCAGGCTAAAGCAGGGTCATCACCTCTCCATACTTGCCAGACAGCTGACTGGGAGCTGGCCAAGAGCTGCTGGGCCTGACAGGTGGACTGGTGATTCCCCACTCCAGACTAGTGGTGACAAATTTAAGCTATCTTTGGCACTCTCGGCCTCTTTCTGGCTCCTCTTTCATTACTGTACTCCTGTTTTAACCTAGCTTATCAGCTTGCCCTCTCATGATTTGAGCAAATTTTCTCTTCAGAATGCTCTCTCTTCTTCTTTGTTCAGCTGGATCATTTCCAGTGTCTCTTCTATGACCTGGCTCACAGTATTTTTGAGAACCCTTCCATTCAT